TCTGTTATTTGTATATTGAAATGATTGTGTTAAAAGTTCAAAATAAAAAGAAATTTTAAAAAGAAAATTTATCTCCCAACCTCTTTTGCTGAGGCTGGCAACACTTAGTATAGAATATTATATACACTGGGGGCAGCTAGATGGAGCTCCTGCCTTGGAGTCAGGAGGACCTGAGTTCAAATTGGGTCTCAGACACTTAACTAGCTGTGTGACCCTGGGCAAGTCACTTAACCCTGACTGACTCACCAAAAAAAAAAAAAAAAAAGCTTAAAAAAAATATATTATATACACTGTCAGACATGGTTGACGTATTGGTTGGTTTTGCAGGACTTACTTTTTCTTTTTTTTAGTTTGCTACAAAGGTAGGTTTGATGGTTAGGAAATGAGGAAGAAAGTAATCAGAAATGATGTGATATGAAACAAAAGTTATCTAAGAATAAGAAACAAGAGGCTTTATTATAAATCTTAGATTTCTGTACTATCATTATCATTACCCTCAACATCATCTACTACTAACTTCAAAGGATCAGTGACCATTAACCAATCTGGTTAGTCTGTAATTAGTACACAGATCACAATCCATTAAAACCACTTGATTCCAAGATTTTTTTTTCTATGTTCTTCTACAGATTCTCCAAAGAGGATCTGCCTAACGAGATTTTCTTGCTATGTTGATTTGCTGTTTTATAAGATATTTCATCAAGGAGAAGATAGAAAGAGAATGAGGAGAAAATTGGTGATCACAGACAATAACATTGCCTGAAAAAAGCAATCAAGAGAACATCTGTACCTATCAACCTCTACGACTATTTCCTCGTCTTTATAAAATCTTTATTACAATGAAACTTATACATCTATCTATTAACCTTGATGAAAATGGAGGGGAAATGAACTTTCACAAAGTTTCTACAGTAGAAGTTATCTTTACAATCATTCAATTCTCTCCATACAAGTCGCTCAGAATATAAGATCCTACTGTGTTTACTATCAGATGGAAACAAAAAAAGCATTTAATTTGGTAGAACAAAATGAAGCCTGACAGGCTCTCTTCCAGCAAGGAATCTTGTGCATATGTTAAGATCATATAAGGTTCCTTGATAATATAATCATAGAGATTACTGTTCAATAGCCCTCTCACTGAAGTCAACAGAGGTTTAAAAGAGTGTGATATACATATCCTCCATCAATCACAGTGCCTACTATGTGCCAGGCACTATGCTAGGAAATAGGGATGGCAAAGGCCAAAAGTAAAACAATCCTTGCCTTCCAGCAGCTTATAATCTAGCAAGGGAAGAAATCACATACCTATATCGGTATATACAAAATAATTTGGGGGACAAGGGAGAAAAAGGGAGAGGAAAGTGTTCATGTAAAAAGTGGCACCTTAGCTGCCCTTTGAAGGAGGTGAGGATTCTAAGAGGTGAGAAATAATCAATGCAAAGGTCAGATGGTATTTCATGTAAGAGAAAGTGAACATAAAGGGGAGTAAAGTGTAAGAAGGCTGCAAACGTAGGATGGGGCCATGTTATAAAGGGCTTTAAATACCAAACAGAGGAGTTTATAGTTGACCCAAGATGTAACAGAGAGCTTATCGTTAATGTTGTTATTAGGTGGTACCTGACTCTCCATGACCTCATTTGGGGTTTTCTTGGCAAAGATAATGAAGTAGTTTGGCATTTCATTCTTCAGCCCAGCTTACAGATGAGAAAATTGAGGCAGAGTTACATGACTTGCTCAGGATCACACAGCTAGTAAGTGTCTGAGGTCAAATTTGAACTCAAGTCTTTGTACTTCCAGGCCTGGCACTCTATCCACAGTACCATCTAGCAGCCCAACAGGGAGCTAGTGAGGTTTATTTACTGAGTATGGAAATGACACGATCAGAGGTGTGCTTTAAAGAAAATCAATTTCACACCTGTGTGGAGAATGGATTAAAAGAAATTAAAGGAGACCAGGGAGGAGACTATTGCAATAATCCACAAGAGGTAATAAGGACCTGAACTAGGGGGACAGCTGTGTAAGTGGAGAAAAGATAACAGATGTAAGAGATGTTGTAAAGGGGCAGCTAGGTGGCACAGTGGATAGAGAACCGGCCCTGAAGTTAGGAGGACCTGAGTTCAAATCTGTCCTCAGACCAAACACTTGACACTTACTAACTGTGTGACCCTGTGCAAGTCACTTAACCACAATTGCCTAAAAAAAAAGAGAGAGATGGTGAGGAGACAGAATGGACAAGATTTGGCAAGATATATAAAGTGAAGAGTTGCAGTCACAAAGCTAGATAGAAAATAGAAGGAGGGGGTGCAGCTAGGTAGCTCAGTGGATAGAGCACTGGGCCTGGAGTCAGGAGGATTTGAATTTAAATCTGGTCTCAGACACATGATACTCGCTAACTGTGTGACCCTGAGCAAGTCACTTAACCCCGACAGCAGTACCCTGAAGAAATAAAGAAGTTTAGAGAGCTTATAAGTAAAAAATTAAGGAGTTTTTTTGGACATGTTGATTTTACCTATGTGACATCCACTTCAAAATATTCAAAAGTCATTTCACGATGTGTGCCTGGAACTGAGGAGAGTGAGGAGATACACATATCTGAGAATCACAGAGAGAATTGCTAAGTCATGTGAGCTAATAAGATTGAGAAGAGAATAACTTCAGAATTACACCATAAAAGAATTTGAGAGTTGAAGAACCCTCAATGGCCATCTGGTCTAAAAGAATCCCCACTACAACACACTCAACAAGTGGTCAGCTTTTAAGCCTTTGATTGAAGACCTTCAAGGAAGGGGAAATTACTACCTCTCAAGGCAGCTCATTCCATTTCTGGACAGCTGTAATTGTTGAAGATTTTTCAAAATCTCAAGCTGAAATCTGCCTCTTTCCAATCTCTACCCACACAGCTCCTAGTTCTTTCCTCTGGGGCCAAATAGAACACATGACTGCCCATCAACTACTTGAACACATGCCTTCCTGAGTCTTCTTTTCTCCAGGCAAAATATGCCCAGTTCTTTCAACTGATCCTCATATGTCATGAACTGAAAAGTTCTTCATCATCCTGACTGCCCTCTTTTTGCTCACTCCCCAGCTTATAATGCCCTTCTTAACCCATGGTGCCCAGAACTGAACACAATATTCCAGACGAAGTCTGACAAGAACAGAGTACAGTGGAATTCATTCATCATAATGTACATCTGGAATAGGAACAATTGATGAGACAATGAATGAGTTGAGACCAGAAATTAATGGATTGCATTTGAGTAACTGTATAGTCTTTACAACAAACCCAAAATACTCCCCCAGCACAAAAATTCATCATCTTTAACACGCCCTCTCATTGATGCTGTATGGTTTCAAATCTCAAAGTACCACATCTAAAAAGTCAAAGTTGTGAAAGGGCAATGGAGAACTGCAGGATGGACACAAGCAACCTATTTCCAACAATGAAACATGAAGGCAAGAGGGATAGCATCTCAAAAAATTCTACTTAAAAAAGGTGGATAAAACCACACATAAAACCACAAGTTTAGATATTCTGCATATGTTATATTCCAATTTCTTTTTTTTGACAAAAAGGAACTGATTGATGCCATTGTTAAGTAGCAGATACCAAATGAAATTTTCCTATTTTAACAACATACCAAAATGTCCTTGGGAAAAAAATCTGCCACAGCCCCAACAGACTGAATACAAAAGCTATCACAACTAATCTGTTTCCTAAAAAGCAAAAATTTATTTTCATTTAAAAAAAAACAACAGTTGAACCAGGACAAAAGATACTCACATGAAATGTAATCTATAAAGTTGTCTCCTAATTCAAAGGCAAATAGAACTAAAGGAACAGGAAGATGATCCCACATTGGTTTCCTTTTCCTGAGGGTTCCAACTACATTTTCTTGTTTAATTGGTCGTGTCCTTCTCTAGGTAGGGGACACAGCAATTGTTCCTTCAGTTCGAATCATAAAACTATGCATGTGGAAAGGGAAAAAAGGAGGAACAGACGGGGAAACCAAGAGAACACACATACAAACACGCACAAATGATGATGACCTTATCCGGCCAGGAGACACAGAAATTATTCTTTCCGTTCACAACATAAAACAGTATGCAAGGGGGAAAGGAGGGAAACTGGGAAAGGAAAAGCAACAGAGATGAGGAACTAAACACATACATGCCTTTGGTGGTTACCACCAGAGAGGGAGATCACAGTAAGAGGATGTATATTAAAACAGGATCGGTGTCCTTCAGTGACACTGGTTTTTGCGAAACCTAGATAAGGATGAGCCAGGGAGAAAAGACTGAAAAACCTATGTCAGTGAGCAGTAGCTTTGCCAAGAAAACTGGGAAGGTTATGGCTTGGATTATCAAACACAACCATGACTAGGGGAGGGGTGGGGGGAAGGGGAAGGCTTGTCCGGGAAGGATCCAGCCCACCCCCACCCCCCAATCGCAGGCAGTGGGGTGGAGAAGAGGGAAAATAAGACAAGAGGGCTGCTCTTTTCCCAGCCAGGTGTGGAGGCCCGAGCAACCTGAAGCCCAACCAGACCAATCCCCCTCGCTCGGGACTCCCAGCTCCAAGTCACCTCCAAGCACTCCTCCTCGCAGTCCCTCGTCGTCCCCCCTCCGCCGGGGCCCCGACGCCCGGAGCCCACCCCTCACCCCGGCCCTGCCCCCTCGGCGGCGGAGGAGGAGGACGAGAGGGAAGGGCAGGGCGCGGGGGGCCAAGGGCGGCCGGAGGGGTCGCGGAGAGCGAGCCCGCGGGGGAGGCAGCCCAAGCCTGCACCCCAGCGGCCATGGCTCCCCGACCCCCGACCCAGCCCCGTCACCTCCCAGGGAGATGCCCTCCGCACAGGCGCGCACACCGGCCCCAGACACACACACACACACGCACACGCACACACGCACTCACACCCGCCGCCTCCACAGCTCCGCGATCCAGTCCTTTCTCTGCTCCGGTCCCCTCCCCCACGGCCTCAGCCCCCCGCCTTTCCCCTTTCCCCCACCTCATCTCCGGGCGAGATCTGCGAGGTCCCGAGGAGAAATCAGTGCCGGGCACACGCCCCGCGGAGGGATGAAGCCCCCGCCGCCGCCGCCGCCACCGCCGCACCGCACACCATCCCCGCCAGTCCCGGGGCTCTCTCGGGATTCTCCCTTGCGAGCCGCCGTACTATGGAGCCACCAACTCTATCTATCTATCACTATCGCTCTATCACTCTGTCTCTCATCCCCGATCTTCCAGCCTTCCCTTCGGTCTCGCGCGCTCTCCTTCTCCGCCTCGGTCTCTTTCTCTGACCCCCCACTCTACCCCCCAGTCCCGCTTGCACTCTCTCTACCTTGCTCCCCGCCCACAGAAGTGGGGGGAAGGGAAGCAACCTCTCAATCCCGAGACTGTGGCCCCTCCTACCTCCTGGGAAGGAGGACTTGGATGGTGGGGAAGGCGGGGAGAGGTGGGGAGCCAGAGGGACGGACGACTTTTGCAGGCCCCGCCTACCCTGGGAAAGGAGGAGGGAAATAATGACATCCAAATGGACCAATAAGATCTTGGATTTAGAAGTCGGGGGAGGGGTCCGCCGCAAAATGGGAGGGAGGGGTGATGTTAGGAACTGGGCGATCTGACATTGGTTGGGCCTTTCGGTGTAATCACTGCACAATCTCGGCTTTATCACCTTATGCGATGCTGTCACATGCTACGTGGTGCCAGGTTGAGTCTCTCTCTGTGTTCCGTCACGGTAGTTATTAAACATATTTAGCTAGAAGGGACAGAAAAACCGCCATCGCCCAAAGACAAGAAGGAGCCTGGGGCTCCAGGGAGGGGCGGGGGAATAAGAAGGGCGTCTCCTAGACGACTTACTCAATTTGCATGAAATGTTCGCCTGAACCATGAGACCACAATGCCCAAAATGCTTTCGTGAACAAAGTCCATCACTCCCTTGCGGGGGCTCCTGGTGAAGCATGCTGGGAGACGTAGTCTCTTTTTAGTTACTATGGCACTTTCTTTCCCACGCTACCAGCTGTAGCTGATAGACAGAGGGAATTGGGCCAATGGGAGCGAAGTATTGAATTGAAGGGGCAGGCTTTGAACGGAACGACTCGGGACTGAGGAGGACGCGGAGCGTGTGGGTCCCCGACTCTAGGTAGGTAGGTCTCTTCAGGAGCAATACAGTCCTCCTTTCTAGTCCTCCTTTCTGAGGAGGAAACGGGTTGTGGGGCTCGTGAGGCGGCGGGAGAGTTTTGGGGAGGGAGGCCGGTGGTGACGCCGGTGACGCCACGGCCCCGGCCCCGGGCTTGGGCCCCGACGGAGCGGACGCGAGTCACGAATGTGCGTTGGCGGCGTTCCTCCCGGGCCGATTTTTTCCCCGATTTCGAGCTGGAAAGGACCTTAGAGAGCGTTTAGTCCACGCATGGACTCACCCCTTACGGATGGGGAAACAGACCCGGGAAGTTACGAGGCCTTACCTTCTTTGGTTTCCCCTTTTCTACGGAAGAAAGCCGGGGTATTTTCGGTTCCGACTTTCTCCGCTAGGTGGCGCAGTGGGTAGTGGTGTCCCTGTCGTCGGGAAGACCCGAATTCAAATCCTGCTTCAGACGTTTTCTGGCCTGGGACGACCCAGGGCAGATCCCTTCACCACTGTTGGCTTTCGCCCCGGTTTTCTCATCTGTACAATGGGGATAACCATAGCACCTTCCTCCCAGGGTGGTTGTGAGAATCGAATCAATCAGATATTTGCAAAGCACCTTGCACAGTGCCTGGCATGTAGTAAGTACTTAATAAGTGCTTTTTTCCTTTTACTTGAACATGTGTTTACTTGTGATTAGAATAAAATTGAATTGATTTTATTTTTCTTTTTTTTCTTTCTGGTCAACTGGCAGTATGTTGTTAGTATGGGATCCTAGATAAGTCCCCTAATCTCTTTGGGCCTCAATTTCTTAGACAAAGGGGTCAAACTATAGATGATACCCAAGTTCCCTTCCCAGCTCGAAATCTGTGATTCTGTTTTTTTATTGCCTCCTCGACTTAGGTTTCCTTTCCATTAGTGCTCATGGTTTCATGACTCTTGAGAGCTTTTTTTGCAGCCACCATTAACCAAAAGTCAGAGGACTTCTATATGCCATGTTGTAGAGAGTATTTTTTATAATGGTCTAATACTAGGGGGAAAATTTTTTTTGGTCCTGACCTGTGAACTTTATGTGCAGAACTCCGGTTGTGAAAACTTTCCCAACTGATAAAGAGACTGAACTCTTCCTCAGTCTTGAGAGTTGGTTGATGGAGGCAGAGAACAAGTATTTATATTAAGTGATTACTATATGCCAGGCAGTGTGCTAACGTTATAAAAATATTATCATCGAATTTGAAGGGTGGATTTGAACTCAGATCTTTCTCACTCCAAGCCTAGCACCCTTATCCACTACATCACCTGGTTGCCTTATTTTTTGGAGCATTAAGAGTTTAAATGACAGTTCCCTTGCAATCATAGTTACTATGTGTCAATTCTCTAGAAATGAGGCCTTTATCAGAAACACTGGTTGTAAAAATTGTTTCCCAGCTTTCTGCTTTCCTTCTGATCTTGGTTGCATTGGCTTTGTTTGTGTAAAAACTTTTTAATTTAATGTAATCAAAATTATCCATTTTGCATTTCATAATGTTCTCTATCTCTTATTTGGTCATAAATTCTTCCCTTCTCCGTAGATCAGACAGGTAAACCATTCCTTGCTCTCCCAGTTTGCTTATGGTATCACCCTTTATGTCTGAATCATCATAGTTAATGTGTGTCAAGAGGCAGGTCTTAAACTCAGGTCATATCAACTATAATATGGTGGCACTCTTCCTCCCTCTCCCCTACACTGAAAAAAGTTGCTTAATAGTTCTCAGAAATAGAGGATCTATCCTTTAGTCTTGACATTATGGTACTAACCACTGACTTTAGAATTTTGTTTGACCAGAGATTTGTTCTCAATGTTGACATTATTGGGTATGTGGTTCTTTTGTCTCTGTTGGTTCCCCACTTTGCACCACTTCTTGCCAATGTTGCTCTGAATTGTTCTTGTATTTTTCTTTCCTTACTACTTAATAGTATTCCTTATCATCCTTATTTTTTATGACATATTTGTTAGGTTTTACCTGACCATTTAGCATGTATGTTGTTTCCAGTATTTTATTAGAAAAATAACACTTTGACAAAAGTTGTTACACATAGGGGCCTTTTGTTTCCATTGTTAACCTTGGAGTACAATCTCAGTAATAGTACTCAGAGTCAAGGGATAGTCACCATTCAGTAAATTTTCTAGCATAATTCCAAATTATTTTCCAGAATAATTGAACATCTTCACAACTCTACCAACAGTGGAGTTAGCGTACCATTTTCCTACAACTCCTTCAGCAATATATTTTCCGTCCTTTTACTGGCTCAGAAATCAGAGTTCTTGAAGAGCCATGTGTTATGCAATAAAGACTGCTCTCTATATAAACATAAACAATCTGGCGCACGAGGATTTCATCACGAGCATTCATCATTAAGCAAATTTATGGTTATGCTTAATTTCTCATTACGTATATGTGTTCATTACCCAGTTTCTGCTATAGATAAGTATCCCTGATCTTTAGCTTATGAAATGAGAGCTAGAGGTATGGACAAAGTATTGGCTAAAAATGGAAACTTCGGCCTAGCTTGTAGTAGTAGAATGTAGCTGTGTTCAAAACCTCGTCAGCAGTGTTCTGTGTATAAGACCAGGCTGCCTCTAGTCTAAAGTAAAATGCTTTATACAATTTTGCCACTTTCTTCTGGAGTTCAAATACCATGTAGGAAAATATACTTGAAAAACTAAGATAGAAAGTGTTCCACTCATAATCAGAAATAAACTGGATTTATTTTATTTTTACTAGGTGTTTATTGCCTTGAATAGTGAAGAAAGTATATAAAAATTCTTTAACTAATACTTGGCTGCAAAGTCCGGTGTGCAAATTCTGCCTGACTTAATCGCTATATTACCTTAGGCAAGTCACTTAACTTCCCTGAACCCCAGTTTTCCCATCTATAAAATTGGTATAATAATAGCACCTACTGCATAGGGTTTGTATAAATGTTAGCTGAACTACCAGTTTAGTAGTGAATCTGTAATTCAATAATTGTATGATAACAAACACCTCCTTTCCCCTTTTGAACTGTACATATGGATTTCAAAGATGTTATTAGACTCACAGATTCCATCTGTTCATTGAACAGTTTTATCCAAAGTAAAAGAGTTTTCTTGGGAAAGAAATAATTTAAGTACAAACAAGTCAGAGTATGAGCATGTGAATTGTTTTCAGTTTTCATAAGTTATAAAAATATTTATTTGACCACTTTTGCCTAATGAAAGTTTTTCATTCCTTTATATTTTGTTATTCTTATAACTCATTTTTACAACCCAAACAAGAGAATTAGCTTACTGTATGAAGAAATAATTTAAGAATTAAAATCAGAAGTTCTGAACTACATCAATGTTAGATGCTTCTGAGAGATTGAAAAAGTTTATTAGCATTTTGATAACTTTGTTGGATCTATGACTTCATTGACATAGGTATCTGTCTGTCAGTACAAATTGCAGTCCATCTATAACTTCTCAGCCTATGCTACTCTCCATAAATTCTCCTTAGAAAAGAACCAAGCATTCTGGGGGCTTTCCTCACTTTCTCTTGAAACTTCATGAATACCAGTGCAGCATCTCAGCTGGCCAGTTAATATCCCTCACTCATTATGCGTACCCACTTCTTTTTCCAGTTAGACATCTTTCCAATGATCTCCTTTATGCATTTCTTAAGAATAGTCCTTCACTGGTAACATCTTGCTGATTACACATACTTCCCTTGGGTCTGTGCATTTCCTTTGGGTAACCCAAAATTTTAAATCTTCAGAGACTTTAGTATCCCCTGACTCAACAGTGCTATAAAGCATCACCTGAAAATAGTGATATTTAAAAAATGGGCCTTTGTTTCAAGGATATTCTTTGAAATATTAAAAGTACCATACAGTTTTTCAAAGGCAATCCAGCCAGCACCTCCAATTCAGT